TACCGTAAAATTAATGTCCAATACATGTAATGTCCAATACAGTTTTTCACCGTATATAGTGGGGGAATTTACCGAATAACCATTTAACAGGTTCTTACTGTAGCATTTTTACAGTCTTTTACCGTTAAATTCACGGTAATTTTTTACAGTGTATATATATATATATATATGAGTGTGAGTGTGTGTGTGTGTGTGTGTGTGTGAATTGTATTTATATTATCATATTTTTAAAATCATTTTTTAAGATTATTTTTCAATTTTTTTAAAATTCAATTATTCAAACTGCTTAGAATCAGCATAGTTCTGTTCACTATGAAAACAAAGTTTATTCAGAAAAAAGTAAAGTATGAACATAGTTGAAATATGACTAGCTGTGAAACGAGCAATATTCAGTTAGTTCAAATGTACGAGACTGAAAATTTGGATTTATTTATGATAAATATATAAACCTGGTTATTGTGTGTTTAAAACACATTCAGTTTATAAATGTTATTACAGAAATCTGACCTGTTTCATTTATGTATGACTGAAAAAATATAAATCATGTTAAGTTTATTAGTTTGTTTATGTTAAAACTGTGTAATCCAAATGTATAGAAATGCTATATGTGACCCTGGAGCACAAAACCAGTCATAAGGGTCCATTTTTCGAAATTGAGATGTATACATCACATGAAAGCTGAATAAATAAGCTTTCCATTGATGTATGGTTTGTTAGGATAGGACAATATTTGGCCGAGATACAACTATTTGAAAATCTGGAATCTGACGGTGCAAAAAAATCAAAATATTGAGATAATCATCTTTAAAGTTGTCCAAATGAAGTTCTTAGCAATGCATATTACTAATCAAAAATTAAGTTTTGATATATTTACGGTAGGACATTTACAAAATATCTTCATGGAATATGATCTTTACTTAATATCCTAATGATTTTTGACATAAAAGAAAAATCTATCATTTTGACCCATACAATGTATTGTTTGTTGGCTATTGCTACAAATATACCCCAGCGACTTAAGACCAGGGTCACATATGCAATTCTAATGCATAAATCTTAAATATTTTTTGAGTGTGATATTTGAAAATCAAGTAATGGTGAACTTCTGGTTAAGTAATGGAGATATGCTGGTCTACGCGTGTGGGAATCCTGTCTGTGTAGATGGATTTGGTGTTTCATGCAGACAGTGAGGAGACTTTGTGTATTGTTTGTTCCAGGGAATGGCTGGTAATCCAGGGCCGACGGGACCACGCGGAAAACCAGGACCTCTCGTAAGAACACCTGCGTTCAATACAAACGAATGCTGCCGACTGTCAGTAAACCAGCAAATCTGGTTGGAAATCTGAGAGACTGAACTATGATCACCTTTGATGTATTTTTGTGATGTTTATAGTTGATATTCTCTCTCTGAAAGGGGAAACCGGGTGAACCGGGACCGCAGGGGCCTCCGGGGCCACCAGGACCTGAGGTGAGAACCAGAGCTCAGGATTGTGTGGAGCTTTGGTTTTGATTGAGTCATGAACAAACGTCCAGTTTGCTTGTACTGTAAATCAGTGAGAGCTTTATAACAGTACAGCAGATCCTTACATAAAATGATATAAATATCAGTGGTCGCTCTATATCTCCAATAATAAGATGAGATTGAAATGATCCAAACATATAATGCAATGATAGAGAGCTGAAGAAATAAAGGCTCCTCAGAAGATGTGAGATGTTCTGGAGCCTCCGCTGAGGAACAGTGAAAGTAAAGCTTCTGGAAACAAACGCTCCTCAAAAGATCCTGAGGATCAGTTACTGGATGAAAACTCTAAACTATCAATCAGAGACAGAAGGCATGTAGTAGATTATGTGTGAGAGGTTTAACAGCAACGTTTTGATCATTTAGAGGCCTTTGTGTATCAAATATGATACAGTACAGTGGCCTGGCTTCACAGACAGGGCTTAGATTAAGCCAGCATTAGTCCATAGTTCAATTAGGACATTTTAGTCATTTTTATAAACATGCCTTAGAAAAAAACATTACTGGTGTGCATCTTGAGACAAAACAAATGCACTGCCATATTTTAAGAGCAGTTAGTGCAAGTTTCTTTCAGTTGAAACAGCTCAGATTTACATTTTAGTCTGGGATTAGGCCTAAGCTTTGTTTTTTACTGGATGAAAACTCTAAACTATCAATCAGAGACAGAAGGCATGTAGTAGATTATGTGTGAGAGGTTTAACAGCAACGTTTTGATCATTTAGAGGCCTTTGTGTATCAAATATGATACAGTACAGTGGCCTGGCTTCACAGACAGGGCTTAGATTAAGCCAGCATTAGTCCATAGTTCAATTAGGACATTTTAGTCATTTTTATAAACATGCCTTAGAAAAAAACATTACTGGTGTGCATCTTGAGACACTGACATATTTTAAGACCAATCAGGGCAAGTTTCTTTTATTTGAAACAGCTCAGATTTACATTCTCGTCCAAGCCTTAGCAGGCTTTATAGAGTTCACTCTACAATTAAACTATCAGATGCATCAGAAATGTAGCTCAGCCTAAGACTAAATAACATTACAAACACTGCAAGCAGATGAAATCACCTGACTTATTCACCATTTCTGCACTGATTTTGAAGGAAATTTCTATATTTGTATGGTAAGTTTGGTGAAAGATTTCAAGATTTCACGCTCTTATTAGATCAGTGCATGTGCTTTGTGCAACCTTCTTTAATACAACAAAGCATTAATCACATTAGAGCTGTTTATAGTCTATTTGTGTTCGTTTTATTTTTTTGCCTGTTGTTAATCCCGAACATGACTGTGGCTCCTCGCAGCCGTATCAGAGTAAACGCAGAAGCATCTGTGCGGCAAATGTATGAAACTCATCCAGCGCAAGAGATTAGCGTCTCGTGTGCTAGTTTGATAGCAGCTAGGTGTCTGGGAAGTTGCCCTCTAGTGGCACTTCTGTGTGATTTCATGCTCATAATGTTCCTTATTATTATTAAATATATTATTAGAATTATTATTAAATAATATTTTAATTACAACATTAATTATGTAATAGTATGTATAATTAATTATTAATAATGTTAATATTATTAATAATAATATACGTTTCAGATCTTTTTTTAAATATCTTCGAAAATTTTGTCATATTGCATTTGGTCATATTACGAAATAAAATGCATTTTGAATGACATTTTTGTTGACATCAAGAGAAAAACAGATCCTCAGCATTCCTCTCAATCCCAAGTGCTCTAAAATGAGCTTCCGACCTGAGAGAGACATCAGCAGTAGTAAACTCTTCTTCTCTCATGCATGTGAATGGGTGGAGTGGTTTAAATATGCTGTCAAACTAATGCTGGACTTTGCTTTGGATGGATTTTGGATCTCCATTACCTCTCACTGTCCATTCACATCAAAACAAGCCAAAAAGAACACGTCAACACACACACAACTCACTCTAGTTGAACATTTCTGTTGAATAACACAATAATTCTCTTAAGTATAGAAAATACTAGTTACAAATGTAAACCCTGCCCTGCCTGACCCTAATTTACAGCAAGTGGGTGTGGTCTGATGACAGGTGGGCGGAGCTGTAATGACAGAGGCGGGGCAGCCGTTAATCAACGTACAAGGTGAATGTAAGGTGAAGCTCGTAATATGTTCTTTATGTATTTCTGTCCATGTTTTGTAGGGTTTCCCAGGAGACATTGGTGCACCAGGACCCAACGGCCCCCTGGGACCAAAGGTGCATATGTTCTCTGATTAAAATCATGAATGTTTGTTGTTCCAAAATCTAGAAAGCTGCTTGCCTAGACGCCTGTATAGCATTGTATTTGTTCCAAAAGGTGGCATCAATCTTATGCTGCCTTCTGAGATAGCTTACTTTTCGATAGTAGACAGCGAGGCCCCTCACTAGAGATGTTTTGTTACTCTTACCCAGTATGTTATGAGTTTTTATATAAAGACACCTGTTTTTCCCAGTGTTCCTCACTGCACAGAATTGTGTGTGTTTGTGTGTGTGTGTGTGTGTGTGTGTGTGTGTGTGTGTGTGTGTGACCTCTACAGTAGAATAGAGCTGCAGTAGAGTCATTTCAGTGATGTTCTTCTGCTTTTCTTTCATCGCCTCGTTTCTCTGCAAGCTTGTGGTATGATGTGTACATTGAAGGAATGTTTTCTTGTCTACGGGCGATGTTCTGTGGGATCTGATTCCTGGATATTTACCAAAACGCTTCCTTGTGTGTTTCTCTAGGGAGACGAAGGCCCCCCGGGTCCACCTGGAAAGCCTGGTCCCACTGTAAGTGTTATTCTTTTTCAAGAATCACCTTGATTAAACTCAGATGAGGAGATGTGATGTAGTAATTTGTTGTACTGAATGTATACAGGCAAATGCATTTACAGTCACACCTATATGTGTGTGTTTGTTCATCCATTACAGGGCCGAATTGGTCGGAAAGGATTCATTGGTGAACCAGGACCTGAAGGCCTGAAGGTAAGTGTCTCCTCACCAGCAGAAATTATCCCATCTGTCCAATATACAAAAAACCCAACGGCGATATTATATCCAGTATTTCCCAATGTTTCTGTGTGATTGTTCACATCATTCTCTAATTGGTCAGTATATCAGCCATCCGGGCCAAATGTGAGATTTCTCACATATGATAAATTAATATTAGGGTTTGGTTTACAGTCATAGATTCTTGATGATTCAAGTGTTTCATTTTGGTGATCTGATTTTGATATTCATTTTTGTCTTTTTTCTTCTTCCCAGGGAGAAATTGGTGACCCAGGGAATCCTGGGAAACACGGCCCCCCTGTAAGTACAAATATCTATCTATCTATCTATCTATCTATCTATCTATCTATCTATCTATCTATCTATCTATTGTCTGACTGACTGTCTGTCTGTCTGTCTGTCTGTCTGTCTGTCTATCCGTCCATCTGTCCATCCGTGTTTTTTTGTAAACAAATTTGTTACTCTGACTGAACTCTTAGTTACGTTGTTTTTTGTTGAATTACTTGCAGTTTTCCGTTTCACAGTTGTGAGGTTTCATTGAGCAAACGTGTTTGTTTTCGTGTTGTGTGTTTGTTTATGCTCTTGTAAAATCAGAGATGTGTTGTGAGGATCTAACGCTGTGTGAGAAAACAGTGCTTTAAAAAGAGCCTTTTAATGCGTTTCATGAGAACTTCCTCCCTCTTGTGAACTTCTCCAGAGGGATTTAGGACACACGCAGCGATTGCTCTTGGAAAAATGTTTATCCCGCGGTTTCGCTCCATCTTCCGATGGGAAGACGAGACTGCATTCACGTCTGTGTGAGGAGGATTTGCTTTAGATACGACACAGAAAACATGTGCGCTGTATTTCTATGTGATGAACTCAAGTCATAATATTTGCATTCTGGCTTGTGTTCGTCTATAGTGTAAGAGCTCACATGTGTGACGCATTAGAGATCAGCCGCAGAAAATCTGTGCAGGGGCCCAGACAGCCCCACTTCAAGAACAGCAATCTGGAGAACACAAGGTCTTTAATGAACGCCATGACATCACTTTCAAAATCAGATCAGACGGAGGGGAAAATGGTTTAAATCTGCAGATTAGTTGCTGAAGTTCTCAACCTTTTAAAGTCCATTTACACCAACTCTGACTTTTTAGCACAAAAAACTTGCAGATTAAAAGTTCAAAGTCGTTATTGGTTCTTCAGCACGGTATTTTGATCTCTGGGTTTTTCCGCTAGCTGGATGCTTGGCACTTTTTTATTGCCTTTTTTATAGCCTCATGGTTCCATCTTTGTTAGTTATTTTGTAGTTGAACTAATATTGTGACAGAAGTTTATACATTTGTGACAGGAAAATGCATTTAAAAATTAACTGGAGTTTGGGTGTCACCTGGTGGCTATTTTTGGTATAGTCAAGTCAAGTCAAGTCACCTTTATTTATATAGCGCTTTTAACAATACAGATTGTGTCAAAGCAACTGAACAGCATTAATTAGGAAAATAGTGTCTCAATAATGCAAAATGACAATAGTAAACACTAATTTTTCAGTTAAAGACAGTTCATCATTGAATTCAGTGATGTCAACATCCAGCTCAGTTTAAATAGTATCTTTGCAATCAAGTCAACGGTATCGCTGGAAATGAAGTGTCCCCAACTAAGCAAGCCAGAGGCGACACCTCTGGCTTGCACCAACAAAATCTCACAGGAACCTACATTTTTTTAATATCAACTTCCAATTTGGAACATAACTTAGTTAAGACATATGGCTTTAATTTTAGGTTTCAAAATTGTATATATTTCATATTAAAAAAAATACAAGTACACTAGCATTTATTTACAGTAGATTTAAACTTCTGTAACATTTTTACACTTTCAGTTTTTGAAATGCGTTTCTATTTTGTGACATAATTGTTGCCTATTTTTAAGTGTGATACAGGCTGGAGTCGCTTTCATTTCTTGTAGCTTCATCTTCATCCACTAGACGGCATCCGAACATGGGTTTCAGTTGGCGTTAGGTTTGATATCACACTAAAATCATTCAGCAGGCATTTTCTCTGAGGACACACAATAACAGAATCATTTCGGTTATAATCGAAAAGCTGCTGGATGATGTAGATGCTTTAATATGGCTTTTGACATATCTGGAGTGTTTTTAGCTGCAAAATATCTGTCCTCTGAGGTTTCGATGACACAGATCTATGTACTGCTAGCCGTCGCTCGGCTCTTCCAGGAAAATATGGAAAGCCTCATCAATCCCAGCGTGCACTTGGTGTCTTTCCTGAAGAACATCTGTGATGTCTGGCATGCTTTCAGAAAGCTTGTTTTTTTTATTTCTCAGTTCTCTAGAATCCCCTCATAGTTTCTTATATAATATGTCAATGTTCTCGGTCTCAGATGTTTAGAGATATAAAATGAACATGGACAGCAGCTCAGATCATTTAATCTTAGAGGAGTTTGATGAGAAATTAGTTTTTGATAGCAGATTTTGGCATCTTTGCAAATCTGAGCATTTTTTATCTCTCTTGTAACTCTAGAGGAGACGTGAGATTGCTGGTGTTTTTTCACACACACACACACACACACACACACACACACATATATATATATATATATATATATA